CGGTGGCCCTAGGTCTGTCGCAATGGCCAGATTTGCCTTAAGTGACCTGTTTCAGTGGCCAGATTCACACAACGTTGCACCCCAGAAAGCAGTAATGTCTAGAGCCACCGCTTGATAGTGGAGCTTCGAGTTCCGGTAAAGGAAACGCAATATCTCTGGCGCACTGCCAGTAGCCCTGAGCTCCATGGTGGTCCATGTCTTCCTGCGCGATCCTACAACCACTGCCCCTGATAACCAAGTGGCGAGCAATTAGTTCCACTTTCGTAATTGTTTTTAATTAGAACAAGTCAGGGCAACTTCACGTGGCATTCACTAATGAGTCTGCGTTCCTTGACCGTGTAGCATGGAAACAGTGAGGACCCCTCCGAATCTAATCACGTGGTCTCACCCTGAGACAGAGACTACCACGAGGAAGAAACCTCCACAGAGTTCCTTTACGTCTTAAGATTCGCTTATGTACTTACGGGACACGACAGCTGGGATAGTGCAGTCGGTATAGGGACTTGATACTAGCTGGATGGTCAAGGGGTCGGAGTTCGAGTCCCGGTAAGGTTAAAAATTTTCTCTTCTCCGCGCCGTCCAGACTAGTTGTGGGGCCGACCCAGCCTCCCATCCAATGGGTACCAGGGGTCTTTCCTTGGGAGTAAAGCGGCCAGGACATGAAACTGGCCACTCATCTGCTACTAGTGCCGAGGTTAAAAAAAAAACGTGGATGTATACATCCGCGACCAAGATGGCGACCATGCTTTGAGGTGTGTGCTACCGAATAGCAGCGTTCTGTTGTGTTTTTTTTTATTTGCTAGCAAAAGAGCTCAGTGCAAAGGATATTCATAAATAAATATGCCCACTTTACGGCGGGGAAGTGTTTTCGCGTAATGGAGTTCACAACTGGGTGGAGAAATTCTCTTAATGACGTTTCAGAAGTCGCAGATGATGAAACGGAGGTGCGGAAGTGGCCGAAACAACAGTGCTGCGGATTTCAGCGACCGGTAAAGCGATGTGAAAAGCGAATCAGTGTTGGTGGAGAGATATGTCAAGAAATAATGCTCTTGTGAACACGGTGATGAACGTTTTCGGGTTCCACAAAATGTTGAGAAATTCTTGAGTAGCTGAGGGACTGGTGGCTTCTGAAGAAGGGCTCAACTTCATTTAGTTAATTTTTGTCCACCTCTCGCTCCCACTTTTGAGCATGGGGCTGATTTCTCAGTTTCTTGATCATTTTACAGACGGTAGGACTCCTTGCACGGGTGAGCAGCTCGTACCTAAACATAGGGCAACACAAACAGAAAACGCACGCTCACACACACACACACACACCAAATATCTGTGCCCTGAGTGGGATTCGAACCCACGATCCCGGTTTCTAAGCGAACGAAGTCAGTACATGTCTTAGACCGCTCGGCTATCGTGACCGGCCGTTAGTTAATTAGTTTGTGTTATATTTACCGATCTAACACTGATCGCAAGTAATATTTTAAGATTTCTGTCTTCATGGATGTGACGTCGGCAATTCCGGTAGACATTTACCGGCGTTTCGCCTAAAATACTTTAAATCTCACAACCTTTTACAGTTATTTTATTTACTTCGTGATTTGTTTAAGCAGCATCAGTAAATTAATGGCATCGAATTATTTGATGATAATGAATTGGATATAATGCGGCCCAATTTAATGTAATATCTCGTTATTTGCGTGGAATGGTGGGGGGGAGGTGTTCCAGCGGAGTTCTCAATCTGACGCGTCCCGAATACAAGATAAAAGCACTGGCGCGTCACTTCGCCTGGCCGGTAGAGCGCAGTACTGTGTTGCAGAGTCGAAACTGCGATCCTCAGCGAAATTAACCGATACAGAACCATTGTCATCTTAGCACACGCGTCCACACGCAGAGGTATCAAGGGAGCACGAAATAGAGCTTCTGATGTGAGTAGTGTCAAATCATATCATCACACAATGAGATGTTGCTTGCTATTCTACTTAACAACATGTTCCAAATCAGCGGTTTATACGTGACAGACGTACAAATGATAACGGAATTGTATAAAACTACAATGCTAGTCTGAAGGTAAACTTGTCCCTGTGCTTAACTAATTAAATATTACGTTGTGGAAACGTATGGGGGATTGGATATATAGATCCACGTATTCTTCACCACAGCACTTGCTGGAGGAGAGCGGTACCTTGACGTCAAGGCCGCTCTGTCCTCTGGAAAATAGTCCCCGATATCCGTTGGATAGGAGGCTGGATGGGCCCCAGAACCGGCCTGGACGTTGTGGAGGAGACAAGAATCTTACCTTTACCAGGACTCAAACACTGTTCCGTCGACCGTCTAGCCCATAACCAGTTGCCATACCGACTGAGCTGTCGAGGCCCTCGACAATGCTAGTATAAATTTGAAAAAGAGTTAAATTGGGTCGGACACGACCTAATGCCATGTATATATATTAAGTTTTCATAAAAGGTTGGGGTGTTTTTCAAGGGGGCGGGAGAAGAAGACATTTGGGGGAAGTTCTAGAAGGTATAGGGTCGAAATGATAAGATGTATATGTTTATGTTTTGGGGCAGTGCCTAAGGTGGCTATATTATGACGCGGGGCGGTGGTGTGTCGTTTTTGGTGAACCCTGTGTAGAAGATGCCTATCTGGGCCGAAACGTGTTGTGAGTGCAATAATAAAAGAGTTTATTTGTGTGATGGTAACCTCCATTTTTGACCTACTTTTCCTAAAGTAGGTTTATGCGATAACCATGTCGTCTGTGTATCCCATTAACTTGAATGTCGGAACCAATTTGTATGCATATCCTGGAACCAGAGCCCATCTCAGCGATATACTTCATAAATCCCTCCCATCAGTCTGTGTCTCTCTATGTGTATTTCTCCTATGGTTGCTAGTCAACGGCTTGGTAAACTGTATCCTACCTTTCACTGCTAAGCAACATCGCGATAAATACGTTCCCATGGAAACGAATACACGCAACAGTAGAATAAGTGTTGGATGCATGTGTCTGTATCCCCCAAGTATTGCTAGGTAACAACTCTGTGTAGACGTTCCCACGGCAACGAAGGATTGTCGGTGATGTAGTTTTCTATGGTGTCCATGTCTTGTCAAAAGAGAGTCTGTGGGTATGTGTGTATCCCCCTGTCGTTGCCAGGTAACCCGGTAAAGACTTTCTTTCGGCAACCAAGAATTGTTGGCGCCATGTCCTATATGATCAATGTAATTTCGTACCTCGCAGCTTCCGATTTTTTGTGCCTAAGGTCCACGTGCCAGCACGGTTAGATAATGTAACTGTGTTGGAAAACGTTGATGACTTCCCAGAATTTCCATTACGTGCGCTTCATAATGTGACACAATGTCGGTTAGACACTCTAAGATAAGATAAATTATTTACACTAAATCAGCGGTCAAGTGACTCAGTAAGTAAGAATGTGCAAATCTGTCAGTTCCGCAGATACTGAGAGGTGTCCCTGCCAACGGTTGTACTGGCCTTGGTAAAATGGGCGCTCACTGGGGAGAGCGGGGCAAGTAGAACATTTGCCACCTCGCCTTGGTTACCTTAACTCCATCTAGCTGAGCGCTTCTTGAGAAGTCACCAGCTGTGCAGCTTCTCAAAAACTTTCCAACATTTTATGGAATCCGAAGGTTCATTACCGTGTTCACAAGAGTTCTCCACTGGTCTCTATCCTGAGCCAGATCAATCCAATCAATACTATTCCATTATATCTCTCTAAGATCCACTCTAATATTGTCCACTCACCTACGCCTTGGTCTTCCCAGTTGTCTATTTCCTTCTGGCCTCCCCATCAATATTCTATATGCATTCATTTCTTTTCTCCCCCGTTCGTGCTACATGCGCTGCCCATCCCATCCTCTTTGACTTGATCATTCTAATTATACTCTGAGAAGAGTACAAGTTATGAAGCTCCTCATTATGTTTTCTCCAACCTCCTGTCACTTCATCTCTCTTCGGTCCAAATATTCTCCTCAACACCTTGTTCTCAAACACCCTCAGCCTGTGTTCCTCCCTTAATGTCAGACACCAATTTTCACACCCACACAGAATCACAGGCAGAATTATAGTTTTCTGTATTCTGATGTTTATGTTTTCTGTTGCGTTTGTATTTGTTGCTGCGGTGATGTTTTTAACGAGCCGCCGCAAGGGAACGATAGGATTTTTACTGAGCCGGTTCCTAACAACAGTACGGGGATACACATACAGACATACAGAGACTGATGGGAGGGTTTTATGAAGTACGCCGTTGAGATTTGCTCGGGTGCTATGACATACATACCAAATTTCATAAAGATCGGTTCAGCAATTCAAAAGTTGATAAGGGGGTTTTACACAGGCAGCATGGAGATCGCATAAGTATAGTTTAGGAAAGTAGGCTACTAAGGAAATATATATAATATATAAATAAATTATTTTAAATTCTTGTATCTTGAATACTCCAGGGCGATCAGTAAGTGTAGCCTTAAACGGTGTAATTGTAAGTTTGTGGGTTAATTTTGTGACTGTCTAGGCTTGGAAAATTGCCCCCCCCCCCACAAGACATCCTGGTAATGCCTATGCTTGATAATGCTATTTTAATCGTAAGATTAACCATCACACAAACTTAAAAATACGCTGCTCTTTTTTGTTTCGAGATGTACACTGTGTGTTTCGGCCGTAAACAGCCATCTTAAAGTGACGTACAAAAATCAGCCAAATAAATTTATTTTGGGTAAGATTTGAGGGTTTTCACGGCGGTGATTATGAAGAATGTCGTCTGGGAAGTGGCGCCTTGTAGATCTTGAGTGAACCGACGTTTCGGAGGAACGTGTGTGTATTCCCGTTGTTAGGTAACTCGGTAAAGATGTTCCGAAGACAGCGGAAAATTGCTGGAGGCGTCGTTTTGTATGCAGTCCATGTCATATCAAAACAACTTATTTTTCTGAGTACCTGAGTGATTGTTACCTTCTGGATAAGTACTCTTGTCCACAGTTTATTTTTCTCTTCGTTTCAGAAGACCGTAGCGTCGTTCGTCGACGGCGACGACGTGTGGATTCACCGTACGATGGCAGCGGCGTATCCTTGCACAGTTTGGATTCAGGGTTGAACCAGAAAGCAGCATTAGAGCCTGTACACTCCACCAAGCCTCGTCAGCCTTCCCCTATCAAGATTTCAGCGAAAGTGGCGCCGGACTGTAACAGCCAGTTTCTTCGTCCAAGTGGCAGTGGTGCCCCCAACATCTCGGGCGATGAGCGGAAACAGTCTCCCCCAAGCCGAGCTATCCTTCGGCTCACTGCCGTCTCTGGCACACATTTCCTGCAGGCTAGGAGAGGTACCAGTCCTGGAACGCCGTCTAGCAAGGAATCCATGAGGCTTGAGATGAGGAAGAGTCCCCCGCTACCTGTTGCTTTCCCCTCAAGAAGCAAGGCCGCGGGGAGGGAGGAGACGCCACCACCATCAAAGCTGAAATCGAACGCTTCCCTGAGGTATGGAAACATTTTATTCCTGAAGAAATAGAGAAGACTTATTGTTTCTGCCATGTTAGTCTCCCCAGAATGAAGATTGAATTTGAATTTATTTCATTCTTTTGTTATAATTTAATTTCAATGTTCTTCATCTGAAACTTGCTTTTTTAAAATCTCTTTTACATCACTGGTGTTATGCAAAACAATATGTTTCGATGCAGCATTGGTCATCTTCAAGTGTCTCCGATAATTGGTAACGAAATTGTTGTGCTTCCGTCTGTAAGTTTGATTTTTGGGGGGTATGAACATTTGTAAGAGTTACACACGACACAATAAGAGGAACTAATTTGGTTGAGACACCATGCTACAAGCGAGAAGGTCGCGGTTTCGATTCCCATTGGAGTTTGCAATTGACCTAATCCTTCCAGCCGCACTGTGGCCCTGGCATTGACGTAGCCTTGTAACAGAAATGGGACGACCGGCGCGCAAGGCTGAGAATCTCACTGTCATCTAGAAAATGTGGGAGTCTCGATGTCTCAACCCTATGGGCTCCACAGCCTGTTGTACTGATAACTTTACCTTACCATCTTGATGTGACACGAGGGCGTATAGACGAATTGAACTACCATACAGACGGAGGCACAGCAGTTTTATCAGCAAATTTAGAGGCACCTGAAGATGGTCAGTAGTGGTCGAAACATGTAGTGTGCATACACCAGTGATGTAAAAGATATTTTAATGTTTAAAATGTTTAAATGTTTTAAAAAGCAAGTTGCGTGTGAGTCAGCTAATAAGTAACAAGAAATAAATACATGACGTGCAACAGGATGCTGTGATATAATGTAAGAATATGGTCTTTTTAAACAGACGCTCAAATTTTATTTGTATATGATTGTCTTAGTACATGGCAAAAATCGCTGTATTTCATTTCTGCGAGCACAGTAGTTTTGGGATATTCACAGTGATATAAACATATTTTTCAATATGTACACACACCGTTCGGTATGAGATAGCGTAGTCGGTATAGCTAGCTACATGCTGGACGATCAAGAGGTCGGAGTTTGAGGGTCAGGCATTTTCTCTTCTCCACCTCGTCCAGATCGGCTCTGGGATCCACCCAACCTCCTGTCCAATGGATACCAGGGTCTTTTTCCCCGGGGTTAAAGAGGCTGGGTTCTGAAGCTGACCACTGACCTCCAGCTAGTGCTGAGGTGAAGAAAATGTGGATATATATACACCCACTCTCCCATATGCCTTCATGGTGTGGTGCTTAAGTAGTTAAGCACAGGGACAACTTTTACACCCATCTTCGGTGTCTGTGACCATTTGTATCTGCCGTCGGAAATTTTGAACAGCTGCAGCTAGAGTTCATTCTCTACCACCGTTCACTGCTGCTTTGATTTCTTGTTTCAGTTCCTTGATTGTGTATGGACAGTTTTTGTAAAGTGTATCTTTCAGAAAGCCCCATAACAACAAACCAGATTGGTTGACATCTGGAGAGTCTGGTGGCAAGGACTCTTAAGTATGTCTGAACCGTTCAGGAAAACAAGTAGACAGCAGTCTGTCATTGGAATCATCTTTTAGCACATTCAGCATTGTGTTCGCAGTGCATGGCAGGACCCCATTCTGTCCAAAAAAGTTTTCTCTGAAGCAGGCACCCATTCATTGGAGAAACAGAAGAAATTTTTCTTGGAGGACATGGACGTAACAATCCTGAGTCAGTTATCATCTCCAGCATTGATGTCTCCATTATTGTCATGAGGATGTTCACTTGCTGACACACATACAGGGGTTGGACAAAATTATGGAAACATTACAGTACAGCACAGCTGCAGTCCTCCTTGGAATGGGCTCCTACAAGTTTAGAACAGTCTTTATCGGAATTTTATACAATTCCTATTGAAGAACATCTTCAAGTTGCTTTAAAGATGTTGGAGGTAAGAATCTTCTTCATTCTAGTCACCAAAACTGACCAGAGTGGTTCAGTGATGTTCAAATGTGGTGGCCTAACCTTCATGCTCTTCAAATCATGACTGAACAGTTCCAGCCATGTGAATGGGGGCATTGTCGTTTTGGAAGACTGCATCGTTGCTCGTAAATAACGTCTGGATCATGGGATGCACCCGATTACCCAAACTGTCCACATACTCCCTTGTAGTAATGAGGCCAACAGAATACACTGTACCACGATATTGCTGGCCATACCATTACAGAACCTCCCCCATGTTTTACTGCTGGAACCATTCATCCCTGATTGTAGGCTTCCTTGTGTGTTCTCAAAACATAAACTCTTCCTGATGTAGGAAACAGTGTGAAGGATGATCATCTGACCATATCACATGTGCATTTCCAGCTGTGTGATGTCCATGTTTTATGGTCATGACACCATCATTTGTGCATGTGAGCATTACTTTCAGTAGTCAGAGGTTTAGCAGTTGCAGTCCTACCTTTGATGTTGGATTTGTGAAATGCGTGTCCCACAGTTTTTCTGGAAACGGTCTTCAGTATGAGCATTCAGTTCTGCTGTCGCCTGTACTGCCGTAATTCTGTGTTTTTTCAAAACATTTGTGTTGTTATTAAACATTATGCATTTGAAACTATATAAACGTTTTAGAAACACTTTTTAGAAGGATATTTTTTAATGCTAGTGGGGTGGAAGTAAGTCCCTTGTACTGTGGCCACTTCTGGCCTATTGTACCAGCCCCAGATGATAGGTGACAGTGATTGTGGAGCAATTGGTGGAATGAAGATTGGCAGGGGAAACCGAAGTACTCGGAGAAAACCTGCCTCAGTGCCACTTTGTCCACCACAAATCCAACTTGACCAGACCCAGGATCGAACCCGGGCTGCCTTGGTGGGAAGCCAGCGACTAACCGCTTGAGCTATGGCACGGCCTCTGGAAGGATATTAGTAATGCCTTCTTGTTACTTTGAAAGCTGTACCGTTTGATGTTAATGTGTTGTTTCATTTTGTTTCAGTGTATACAGTGGTAGCAGTGGTGTTCTGCCAGAGGCAAGATCGGACAAAGTGTCTCAGAAAGTAGATAGATTGATGGCCCTCACAAGAGAGACAGTGGCGCGTCTTGACAAACTGACTTTCAGTTCCCCAGCTTCTTCGAAAGCTTGTGATGGTATGGACAGTACAGGCACCAGCTCAGTCCAAACATCTATAGAAACTTCTCAGCATGAAAGTGGCCTTGTAGAATGTTTATCCATTCATAAGACTGTCAACAAGAGTGATATTTACCATAGTACGGATTTGACAGTGAAAAAGACACACAGCCCAAGTACTGGGGTCGATAGTTTCAATCTGTTAGACAGCCTGCACTCTCCAGTTAATGTAGATTCCTCAGATTTGTCTCCACTGGATAATGGTTCTGGTGAAATTTGTGCTAGACCATGGGTTGGTTCTCCAAGCAAGCAGCCATCATCAATATTAAAAAAGAAATCCATTGATGAGCCGTACCCACTGCCAGTTTCATCAAGTGCTCCACAGCAGATGCCAGTTTCGATTCTAAAACGTAAGACATCGCAGGATGAAGCTGGATCTGTCAGTGGAGGGAGCTCGGCATATCCTCCTCCAGTAACATTCTCGCCATCTGTTCTTGAGCAGACAGGAAGTAATGGTAAACGACAGGGTATCTTAAAGAAGAGAAGCAGTCTTGATGAGTCGGAAGTGCTGCGGAGAAGAAGTTGTTCCCCAGATGTGGCAGGATTGGATCCTGACTCTTTGTCAGAATTTCGTCCTATCCTAAAGAATCAACGTAGGTCATCTATGCAGGAGTTAGTTCGCAGAACCCAGTCACCCGACCCCCATCCACAGTCAATTTTGAAAAGAAGAGCAAGTCCTGATGATGAGGTTGAGGAGCGAACATCCTGCTCGCCTGAACCTCAGGGAATTCTAAAACGAAAATCTGCTACAAGCAGCAACAGCAGTAGTAGCAGCACATCACCCCATGTCTCTATAGCTGCTTCTGTTATCATGAATGTAGCAGCAGGAATGGACCCAATACCTGATATGTTACAGCTCGACGGTTCTACGGAACACGTTCGTCCTATACTAAAGAAGAAAAGCAGCTCTGAAGATAATACCACAGCTGATTCGTCTTCAACTGAAGCACCGAAGCCAATACTGAAAAAAAAAACTAGTATTGAAGTTGATGATCTCGAGGAAAGACCTATGAAACCAATACTGAAGTCCTCAAGAAAATCGTTGCAAGAAGAGCAGACGGGTCGGGAAGCTTCATCAATGGATTCTCCTGTGAGGTGTCTCATCCTGAGGAGTCGCAGTGCTGGAGGCTCTGACTCAGCATCTGGTTCTGACTGTGAAGTAGTGAGACCCATTCTGAAGCAACCTGGCAGTGATAGATCATCACGGGAGAGGTCTGTATCTCCCCGACATAGATTGTCATTCTCTGATGATTCGGAACAGCATGTAGTTAGAGTTGAAAAGCGTGATTCTGTGGGGTCTGGGATAGGAAGCAGCGAATCCAGAAATGGTAGTCCTAGTAGGGAAGGAGTAATCCATAGGAGGAGGCTGAAACAGTCGTCTGTACCTAAAACAAATCCTCCTTCATCCATTGACAATGAACTGAGTGCCATCTTAAGTAAAAGGCGATCATTTGAAGTTCCAGCAGAAGTGGATTCAGAATCCCTTCATCAGAGACGGTCACCAGTTGTGATGGAGATAATACATGGCCAGCCACGCCCAGTATCTGTGGCTGAGCGAGTTCTGACTATGGAGAACTTCTTGTCACAGGAGATTGGCAGTGCTAGACAGACTGGTGCGGTACCCAAGAAACCCGGTTCACAGAGAGCTTCCAGAGACAGGGAGAGATTTCATACTCAGCCTATCACTCTCCATGAGCTCAATGCATCAGCAAGGTAAGTTTAAGCAAAGGGCATGTGATGTGTAGATGTGAGGTTAAGATCGTTTGCACAGTATAAGAAGTCATCTTTCATCTTCAGGTCTTGCTGAGGCAAACAGTGGCTTTGTTGTAGCTGTGCAGAATTCTGTTATATAGGTAGAGAATTTCATTTTTCTTGTATAGTCATAATTATGATGCAGTTTTGTTCAAATACATTGTTATTTGGTTATGTCAGCCTCAGGAATATAGCCATGACTAAGCGTACTAATTCTCCATAATAGACACATCATGCAGCATTTTTCGTCTTCCCTTTCTCTTCTGTGTTCAGAGTATAGTGTGTTTAAAAATGATAGTTGTGGTTTATTAGGAGGATTAGAATATGATGGTGATACTTTTTATTTCACAGAAACTATGGTTTAAACCCTAACTTTAATTGCTTGGAAGTGCTGCTGACAACAGGCCTGCATTTTAGCTTATTCAGCTGCTTTAAAATATGTAAGGAATAGTTTTGTAGTTTTGAAAAATACAGGAACAGTTTTTCACTCTAAATTTGACCTTAAGAGAATGCATCATCTTCATATAGCCATGGAGGAAAAACAAAACACGTTCAGATATGGCATCTTGTTTGTCATGTCTTCTGGTTTTCTTGACTGATGTTAGTAGTAGTGGCAGTTCAGTGAGGTTATAGCTACTAACTGTCATGTTGGCTGCACCATAGCTCAAGTGGTTAGTCGCTGGCTTCCCACCGTGGCGGCCCGGGTTCGATCCCGGGTCTAGTCAAGTGGGATTTGTGGTGGACAAAGTGGTGCTGGGGTGGGTTTTCTCGAAGTACTTCGATTTCCCCTGCCAATCTTCATTCCACCAAATTCTCCATCATAATCACCCAGAGCAGGCTACAATAGGCCAATCAGTGGCCGCCATTCCTAGTGGACCCAGTTGGACTCCACCCCCCAGTAACTCTCATATTTCTACATTTCCTGTAACATATTCCCCTGGTTATTTTAGGTACCTATTTTTAGAATCGCATAAACTTATCCACTCTTTTGGATCGTGAAATATTACAACCTGTAGGAATGGTGTGAATTAAAAGTAGCTGGAAACAGTGCCCTAAGAAACATGTTAGTGCCTAGGATAGAATAAATACTGGACAGAATTGAAGAAATATGTAATTAGGAACTAAATTGTGTTCACCTCCCATTGAGTTTTCGTTTATTTAACTGGAGAAGGTAATGGCGCTCTTGGGACATATAGTGAGAATTATAGAGATGAAGCTTTTTATAGTATCCAACTATATGGAAAACACACACACATTCTTGCCCAGAATGACCGATACTATGGCCTGCCAGAATATTGACCTTTCTTTAAGAAATGATTGGTGAGTTTCATAGTATTGAAATAGAACAAGGATAGAGTTTAATGGACAGGCGTTTATTGATTGATGTTGAACAGTCAAGATCTCACCTCTCCCCACTTCAATCCCTCCATGTAATGCAGTAACAATCTTCTTGAATTATTCGTTTTTCTGTGTACGTCTGTAAATTTCAAGGTCACCGTGATGTGAAATCAGTAACTTATTTTGTTAGGTATAATACAAGGTGAGGTGCATTGCTGTTGGTAATTTTGTATTGTTATGAATGAGGTTTATCATGACATGGGTGTCATGTTGCTGTCAGTGAGTTAATGGCACTGGGAACTGACAAAATATGGCCAGGTAGTATGTGTGACCATATGAGTAGACTGGAGTGGTGAGACTTCAAATAACTGTAACACTATCTCGATTTCCACAGTTCACTAGAGCACACAGTGTAGTGTTCTCAGTCTGTTATTAGACGTTTCCTGGTTATGGCTCCAACAATGGCAATGCCTCTGCCTCGGGCTCAAGTCCTCTCTTCACATATTCTCATATAGAAAAACTAACTGAAGCTTCAAGCTTCCTCGTTATTACAAATTGGCACCGACCACATATAAAACGCATTTCTGTTGTTTCACCAATATATATTGCAAGCATTACCTAGCAATGTCTGCTGTTTACAGAGTTACCGCTTAGCAACGAGTCTGTATGCCACAAAATGTTCGTCCTTCATCATCATCATCATCGTCATGATCACCACCCCGCCTCCCCGCCGCCGCCGCCGCCGCCTCCTCCTCCATAATTCCAAATGTTATGCCTATTGAGACCACTGTGGATTTTAGAAAGCCAAATCGTTCCATCCTTTTGGTTGACATTTTACAGTTTTTTTCAAATCTTGGGCTGTCAACATGTTCTCTCCAGTCTCTTCTATATTTCTCTATAAATAAATTTTAGTTTTTAAATCTGTAATTACTTTCTTTTATAGTCCAAAAGGATGTATTCCGCAGTCCTACTCGTGAAACGCATTTCTGTTAATGTCAGGCACCTCTTCGTGTGCTGGTGTCATGTAGCTCTCTTTGTGAGGGAGTGGTGTCAAAACATTCAGGAACTGTAGGCATTCCCTGTAAAATAATTTAGTAGCATATTTAAATAAATGAACGTTTCGATCGAGAGCTCTGAAGGAAACATTTCTTTGTGTTGAGAAAAATTGTATTCGCATAAATAAATATATAAATGGTATCCCTCTAACAGGCTGTGGATGTTCATAGGTTTGTGAGACGTCGAGGCTCTCGCATTTTCTTTTGCCTCAGGATGGGGACCACTGGAGGGCTCTTGTGAAGGTCCTAATGAACCTTCGGGTTCCACTAAATGCTGGGAAGTTCTTGAGTAGCTGCAAAACTGACGGCTTCTCAAGAAGGGCTCAGCTCCATGAAATTATACAGGGTGTTTCACGACTTTATGGTATAACTGCAGGAGGTGAATTCCTAGGTCTTTTTCATCAAAAAAGTTCATATAAACATGTGTCCGATTTTTGACGGTTACGGAGTTGTGACCGTTTTAAACTCAGAGTAGAAGGTAACGATTACTGACAATAAACGGAACAAAATAATAAACCAGCATAATACATGATACATTTAAAGTATGACTGTAAAGTTAACTTCGTGAAATTACCTTTAATTTGAATTGATTGGTGCTTAAAGCCGATTTTCGAAAATGCAACCGCCCGCCGCAGCACAGGCTGCCGCGCGGGTAGCACGTAGCAGCTTCAGCTGGCTGTTTCTTATGTGGTCAGCGGCGTCCAGAATGCGACCGAGCAAAGCATCTCGCATTGCCACCTTCACATTATAAACCAGTTCTTTCTTTCATCCCCGCACACAATAATCTGGTGGGCTTAAGTCTGGAGACCTGGCTGGCAGTTCTTCGCGTACTCGTACGTGGACTGCGGTCTACCATGCGAACAATGGCTTCTTCATTGACGCCTTCATTAACATCACGCACGGCTGCAATACGAACGCCGGGAAGTCTACCGGTATCTCGCAATGCATGGTAAACTCCAGTAAACACTCTCCGGTTCGGTATCCTACGATTCGGAAACCATTGCTGATATTGAGCCACGGCAAGAACTGAGTTACTGTCACAAAACCCGTACACATAAATCATATCTGCATACTCCTCAAATGAAAATGGCATTGTGAACGTAAGAGACGCACCGAGATGAGAACTGTTCTGAACACCAGTAGCCGCCACACTAGCCGTGGCCTTACATACCAACCCACCACGCCTTAGGTACCTCTCAAGTGTCGAAATAACGAGAATGCTCTGTCTGTAGCTGGCTAAAAATAGTGACCTGCCAGATGACAGACGCGGTTCACACGAGGGCGTGTACGGGAATGAAAGAACGGTTATAACTCCGTAACCGTCCAAAATCGGGCACATGTTTATATGAACTTTTTTTATCACAAGGATCTAGGAAATCACCTCCTGCAGTTATGCCCTAAAGTCGTGAAACACCCTGTATAGTATATATCAGATTTCAGTGCTGATGCCCATGGAGCTTTTTTCTTCTTCTTCTTCTTCTTATTCCGAAATATTTTAACGTTCTTCTTGCGGTATTGATTCTATAGTATCGCTGGTACTTTGCTCAGTAAATTGTTTGCTCTAATGAGTACGAAATTTACTTTAGGAGAACAGTAATGTTCTGGAAGCTTCGCCAACTTCCTCTGCTACTGAAATTGATTAACCGTTTCATCAGGAAAAAAAAAAATTATAGAGGTTGCTAAGTTGTGTATTTGTGTGTGTGTGTGTGTGTGTGTGTGTGTAAATTCTGTTTTCTTGTTTTTGATCATTACGATCATCATCATCAGTTATTTTTTTATTTATTTATTTATTGACATGCGCAGACCATGATATATTGCAACATCGCATTTCTCTTACAAATACTTTCCGTTGTGACAACAAAAGGAAACCAAACATTCGAGGCATTCTGTAGATGGCAACATGATACCCATGTGCTGCAGGAACTTAAAGAAGTTTGGAAATCCTTGGGTTACTCTTTAAGTTTTGGACGCAGTACCACCCTGATTCCTTTGTCCTTTACTGTGATTATTTTAATATGTTCTACTCGTAATATGTCATTACACTTGATCGTCGACTTACGACCGACTTCCCTTCTGACTGACAGGTCGTATGTCGGCCATATATTTATTAACAGTATTTTTTAACCTTTGTAATCTTTTCATCATATTTACAATTTACAGTAAAACTTGGTTATAGCAACATCGGTTTCTGCGACACCTTGTCTATTGCGTCAAATATTCAATGGTACGAACTAATTCCTCATAAAGCAACTGTTTTTATACCTTGCTTAGTACGACATGCACAAATGCATCAACCTCGTATGTAACGTCATTTTCATTCCTGAATTTCTCTGATATGGACATTGAACGTAATTTAGAAAGTGTGTATTGGGCAAGTAACAGGAAACAGATGAAGATAACTGATTACTGTACTCGTATATAGGTACAGTAAGGCACAACAATTGATGTAATCTACTGTAATTTGGTGAGTAGGCCTACCTTTAATATACAGTATTAGTGCGGTGTGTATTGTCAGTGAAAAGCGCTGTAATATGTCTTTGATATTACCCATTTGGGCAATTCCACGTT